AATTACCCAAAACACCCAAAAATTTCAAAAAATTCCCGAAATACACTGCCCCCCCAAAATTGCAAAAATTATCTAAAAGCCCCTCAAGCCCAAAAAATTCCCAAAACCTTTCAAATCATTCCAAACATCCCCAAAACCAATCCTAGCCATCTATTGGGCATAATTTGACCAAATTGACCAATTTTGACCAAAATCTCAATTTTTCCTTTAAAGGCCCAAAGTCTTCAAATCACCCTCACTTTCCACCAAATTGATTTCAAACTTCCCCAATTTCAAATCCAAATCAAATTTTGTCATGTCTAACCCAATTGAAACCAAATTCAAGCCCAATTGAATGTAACTTTAATCCCAAATTTCAAGCTTAATCCAATGCCCCAAATTGAACTCCCTAACCTATTCAAATCCTCCAAATCCACTTCCTAAACTGTTGATAACATCCCCCTGAACCATATTGAGCCATCAATTGGCCTAGACCCAAACCTAAACCTAGCCCAAATCCAATTCAAACTAAAATCCTTAATTTTACCTCAAAATCCAAATCTCACTAAATTCAACCGCATAACCTTTCAATTTCCATCCATTTGACTTCCACACATGTCTCATGACAATATTCTACATCAAATTGGTCAATAATTTGACCTAAATCCATGATATAGTGAAAGCTAAACCCAAGTCCAAGCCTAAGCCATGGTTTTGAACCCAGCCCTAAACCCACCTTGAGTTACCTGGTCTAGACTTAGCCCACTCTAATGGTGTCGTGTACCAAGGGTCCCGTGATTTTGGGGATTTATTTCTAAATTTAGCTAAACCAAGGGGACTCTTCCCACCAACCTTACCAAGCCCCCAAACCATCACAATTAAACTGTCTGGTTCTTCTAACCCTGCTAGCCACTAGCTCAGCCCTGGTCGACCGGCCTAGTGGCCGGAAAACACCATGCCCGAGAGGTCCCAAATGGATCAAACCCAAAATGGGGACTCTATGAGATGGCTCAACCCTATTGGTCAATTACATTGTTTATCCCTCCACATAAGCCTCCTTTATGCCTCTCAGGCTTGCCTTGGTGGCAGCAATGGCTCCCTCTATAAATAGGACCCCTCTCACGACCAAATACAGAGATCATCCAATTCCTTGGGGAAACTCTATCAAAATATTTGCAAAGCCTCTCCAATTCTCCTTGAGTTAAATCCCACTGCCCTTAGCCATCCATAGACACTGCCTCTTTGGAATTTTGAGCTCAAAATCCAGGGGATTTTCTTTCACTCCACCAAGCTCCATAAAGCTTCAAATTAAACCACCCTTGAGCTTCCTCAGACTAAACAAGGAAGTTTCCCACTAAAAGCCCCATCCTTTGAGCCCTTTACACCTGAATTTGACCAATGGGGTTTGCCTTGATTAGATGAAGCTATAGGAATAAACCCCATTTGATTTGGTTGAGTATAGAGCGAGATCTTAGGTCTTGAGGTTGGACGATTCTTGCTTTAGAACTGATGGGGATGATGAACGGATGTCATCCATTTGCAAATGTATTGATCAAATGGCAGAGGAAGAGTCAGATAAGGGATCTATATAGTTTAGAGCCACTCGGTGCACTTGACACTGGTGACAACTCTTGGCAAATTTCATGTAGTCGGCCATCATTAAGGGCCAGTAGTTTCCTAGCCTCTTAATCTTCATTTTCATTTTCATTTTTGGAATCGACTCCTAGCCTCTTAATCTTCATTTTCATTTTCATTTTCATTTTTGGAATCGATTGATGAGCGCAACAAAATTTTGTGTGCACCTCCTTAACAATGTTTTCAGCCTCAGACCCATTTTTATTCCATCTCTTGAGGCTAAGTCAAAGAAAGGATATTTCATCGGCTATGGAGATGAGGCATTTGGCTATCGTTTCTGGGATGATCATGGTCAGAAGATCATAAGAAGAAAAAAATGTTATTTTTAATGAGAAGATTATGTACAAGAACAAGGCTAGTAGAACTTCTGTAGTAGCCCCTTAAGAATCCGAGTTGGTGAGGTTTGATGACCTACTAGAGGTCACAGTGCAGGGCAGAGATGTAAGTGATGAGGAGAGTGGGACCAAGGCATCCATTCTTATTATTCCGTAGTTTGTTTCAGATCTGTCTACCCTTACATCTATAGTTTGCAGGTTAGTCAGAACTAGACGTTCTCCTCAACATTTCTCAGTAACCTTGAACTATATTCTGTTGACAGATGATGGGGAACCACAAAGTTATGAAGAAATCTTATAAGATGAAAATTCTAGAAAGTGAGAGCTATCCATGAAAGAAGAAATGGATTCCCTGCTAGAAAATCAAACATGGGAGCTGACAGAACTTCCATCAAGGAAGAAGGCATTACACAACAAGTGAGTGTATCATGTGAAATTTGAGCATGATGAAAGTAAAAGGTACAAGGCAAGACTTGTTATAAAAAACTTTTAACAAAAACAGGGCATTGATTACTTTGAGCTCTTCTCTCATATAGTGAAGATCACTACCATCATGATGGTATTATCTATGGTTGTTACCGATAAATTATTTTTTGAGCAGTTAGATGTGAAGACACTCTTCCTTCATGGAGACTTTAAAGAAGACAACTACATGCACCATCCTGAGGGGTTTGCAGTACAAAGAAAGGAAAATTCAGCTTGCAGACTGAAAAAAAGCTTGTATGGCCTGAAGTAAGCTCCTAGACAGTGATACAAGAAATTAGATAATTTCATGCATAGTGCAGGGTACAACAGATGTCAGACAAATCATTGTTGCTATATCAGGCATTTTCATAATTCCTATATTATTCTATAGTTGTACGTAGATGACATGCTTTTTGTAGGGGCTAGTATTGATGAGATCAATATTCAGAAGAAGCAGATGTCAGAGGACTTTGCAATGAAGAATTTGGGAGATGCAAAACAGATCATTGGCATGATGATTATCAGAGATAGAGTGAGAGGCACGTTGAGACTCTCATAGACAGAGTATGCGAAAAAGGTTCTCAGTATGTTCAATATGGACAATGCAAAGCCAGTTGGCACACTTTTGGGTAGTCACTTTAGACTCAGCAAGAACCAGTCACCCAAGTTAGAGGAGGAATGAGACCACATGAGTAAGGTTCCTTACGCCTCAGTTATTGGTTCACTTATGTATGTTATGGTTTGCACAAGACTAGATATTGCCCATATAGTGGGAGCTGTGAGCAGATATATGAGTAACCTAGGAAAAAAATATTGGGAAACTATGAAATGGATTTTGAAGTACTAAAGGGCTCCTCAGAAACCTGCTTTGGTTTCTCAGAAAAGAATTTAGAGTTATTGGACTACATTGATGTTGATCTAGCTGGAGACATTGATAGCAGAAGGAGTACTGTGGGGTATTTTTATACTCTTGGTGGCAATACAGTATCATGGGGCTCTAACCTATAGAAAATAATTTATTTTTCTTCTACAGAAGCTGAGTATCTAGTAGTGTCAAAGGCTGCAAAGGAGATGATATGACTACAAGGCTTATTGGAGGAATTAAGTAAGAAGAATCAAAAGGGCAGTTTGTACAGTGACAGTCAGAGCGTCATATTCCTTGTCAAGAATCCAACATTTCAATCCAGGTTGTAAGCAAATTCAAATCAAATATCAATTCATACGATCATTGCTAGATGACAGACAATTGTTACTTGAGAAAATTTGTGGAAGCAAGAATCCTGTTGATATGTTGACCAAATTTGTTACACTTAAGAAACTGATGTTGTGCACAACTTCAGTTGGTCTTCTAGCATGAAAATAGGGGCAATGAGTTGTAGAGGTGGAGGATATTACATTTGAGGAAAAGAACGATGCAGCTAGTGCACCAGTTTCCAAGTGGGAGATTTGTTGAGTATTGCGTAGTCCGGTCCAGTTCCTTGAATTGGCTATTTCGACACTTATGGAAACTATTTGAATTTTTTATTTTCTATTATTACTTTCCTTTGTAAAATTCTTTGCCGCTTCTTCCTAATATGCGTCTGCCCTCCCATTTCGCCAAATAAGGTCGTTGCTTTCTTCTTCTGCATTATCTCGCTCGCTTTCACTCCCCCTTTTTGTGCGGTGTTTTGTTGTGCCAAAGAAAGTAGAAGAAGCTCAGGTGTCCTCTAGCAGGTAAGGCGCGGGGGCACAAACAAGGGAAGAAGGAGAAGGAGAGGAAGGAAGTTTGATACGAGTTCTTATAATCGAAACTTTGTCTTTGAGCAATAAAATCCTCTGCAACTCCATGAACGTAGGCAATTTATCGAATCACGTAAATCTGTGTCTCTATGATTTTCTCTTGTTTAAATTTTTTATTTTATTGTCAATCATTTTCACAACAGAATGAACCATGGCAGAGAAGAGAGGACATGAAAAACATAATGACATTAGTATTATTATTTTTTATTTAATAATTTCTTAAATTAGGTTGGCTTCAACTTGGTGTCGTTATCCAAATAATGAGTCCCTTGTTGAAAATTTTTTAATTATAAACTTTTCGGTTCAGAACAGCGGTTAAGACATTCTGAAGCCAATTTGTTCGAAGTTGGATTAGTAGATCATCATTTTGATCATATAGCCATTTGGTTATGGGTGAGGTAATTATTGGATATATTCCGCGCTTCGGACACATGGACCTCGTCCATTTTGCAATCGGACATTCAATTCTACTTATGAAGCAAGCAGGGAGGTTAACTCAATTGCCTAGTCGTCAAACTCTATTCAGTTTTTCGATCATTGACAAATTTTGGGGAAGTTACCATGAAAGAGCGAGCACTTCTGCACATAAAAATTACATAATGATGTTGAAGAAGATAACGGTATTTTAAATTGCGGTTCCCAACTTTGCATAAATGCAACAAACCGCAGTCTCCAGACTAACATTGGCATATAATACTGGAAACTCCCTTGAGAACTACTTCCAGCTGGCAGTCAGGCAGGAACTCACCTCCTTTTCTTATAGATTATTATATTTCCCACTAAAAGTTCTTTCATTTATATAAAGGATAGAGGAAAAAGGGAATTTCCGTGGCAGAGAGGGAGTCGAACGGAAAGAAAAATTATCAGAAATCAATGGAGAAAACGGAGGGAATGAGTAAGGAGATAAAGAGGCAGATGCGCCTTGCAATGCCACTTTCAGTTGCAAATTTGCTTATGTTTGCCCTCCAATTCGTATCAATAATGTTGGTGGGCCATATAAGTCACCAGAAGCTCGCCGGCGCCTCCATAGCCATTTCCTTCGTCAATTCCATCGGTTTCTCAGTGCTCGTACGCCCTCCGCCTTCATTTGACTTATTTTTAAGCATAGATGTTTGGTTGTTCATGCCCAAATTTTCTGTTCGTAGATGTGAAATCTTATGAAATTAACAAACCAAATTATCGGAGATGAGCCGCATCAGTTTAAATTTCATAACCTGCAAACCTGGAAGCTGTTCGATGTTTAGATAAGCTTAAATGAAAGCAGAACAGATTTCAACCTTGTTAAAAAAGTTTTGTAAATGATAATTTTTTTCGTATGAACTCCCAAAGTTCTGGCTGTTAAAAAAAGAGTAATCATGATTTGTCTTTCTTTTGTCCGTGATTTAAATAGATGGGAGTAAGTTCTGCATTAGACACCTTATGTGGGCAATCTTATGGAGCAGAAAACTACAAGATGGTAGGCTTGCATCTACAAAGAGCGATGGTGATATGTGTCCTAGCGAGCATTCCTCTTGCTTTTGCAATGGCTTTCTCTGGTACTCTCCTCATCCTGCTCCGCCAAGTCCCAGAAATATCAATGGCTGCTCAATCCTACGCTCAGTTGATGATACCTTCACTATTCGCCTTCGGCCTTATACAGTGCATCCTCAGGTTCTTGCAAGCTCAAAAAATCGTGGTCCCCATTATGCTTAGCGCTGGAATGACAGCAATTTTTCACTGCGTCAATTGTTGGTTCTTCACCTTTAAAACAGGGCTTGGTTATCGAGGAGCCGCACTTTCAGTATCGATATCTTACTGGTTCAATTTGTTGCTTTTAGTAATCTATGTTATTTTTTCTCCTTCCTGCAAATCGACATGGACTGGATTATCTAGAGGGGCTTTTCATGGCTTATGGGACTTCCTTAAGCTTGCCATACCATCCACTTTAATGGTTTGGTAAGTACAAAAAACGTCATTTTTTTTACTAGTTTTGGTACTCACTTCTTTTGGCTCTGACATGAGATATGTTCGCAGTTTTCAAAACTGGCAATTTGAGTTATTGTTGCTGCTTGCTGGACTTCTTACAAATCCAGAGCTCCAAACATCGTTAATGTCAATCAGGTATTTTTTTAAAAGGATAAAACTCATCTGCAATCACATTTAATTAAAATTATTTAGTGCTAAACGTGGTTAATTGATTCCATTTTTTGCAGCCAAAATATCTCTTCACTGGTGTATGTGATTCCATTGGGTGTCAGTGGAGCAGTTAGGTTAGCTGAATTTATTTCATTTTTTTTGTTCTTTAAAATCATAAAGAACACCAGAAGAATCATTCCGATTTTGCTTCATTATTTTGTAGCACCCGAATATCAAATGAATTGGGTGCAAAAAATCCAAGGGCCGCTGTGCTTGCTGTGCTATCTGCGGCGATAAGCATAATTATTGAAGGTTTGGTTGTGGGATTTGTGATGATCGGTGGACGGCAATTGTGGGGACATGCTTATACCAGTGAGAGAGTAGTTGTGAATGCCGTGGCTGCAATGGTTCCATGGATTGCTAGTGCTATCTGCGGCGATAAGCATAATTATTGAAGGTCTGGTTGTAGGATTTGTGATGATCGGTGGACGGCAATTGTGGGGGAATGCTTATACCAGTGAGAGAGTAGTTGTGAATGCTGTGGCTGCAATGGTTCCTTGGATTGCTCTATCGCATTGCATAGATGGTTTCCAATGCGTGCTTTTAGGTATTTTATTCTTCTGCACCAACAATAAATAAGGATTGATTGCTTGTGTGATTGTTCTATTAGTTTTCAATGTTATTAAATGCTTGTGAAAATTGTGAACATGTATGTATATAAATTCAGGCACAATTCGAGGAAGCGGAAAACAGATGGTTGGAGCTTTTGTTTGCCTTGGTTCTTACTACCTCGTTGGAATTCCAGCTTCCATTCTTCTGGGTTTTGTTTTCCATTTGGGAGTAAAGGTAATTAGTTCACATTTATTTACCCTTTCGTTAATAAATATTAGTATAACCATAACATTTAGTTAATAATTATTGCTGATCAAATTTATAGGGTCTTTGGATTGGAAATATATGTGCAATTTTGGTTCAAGACTTGGTGCTTTTAACCATGACAGTCTTCACCGACTGGGAGAAGCAAGTAAGTTTTCTACATGAAAATAACTTTTTTTTTTAATTTCAGCTTTCATAGAAGATCATGCTAATGCTCCCTTATTCTTAGATTTATATGTATTCTAAGATTTTATATAGTTAATTAATCCTTTCTTTTTCCTTTATAACAGGTTACAAAGGCTATGGAAAGAGTTCAACCCTCCGAGAAGCCGTCGAGCCCGTTGACATCAGATCCCAATTATTGGATATTTAATACACACGCTTTGGTGTCTTCATTCTCCATCTCGTTTGATTCATCCGAGTGAAGAATTTCCCAAATTTTCTTACAATTAGAAGTGACAATAATTGTTTGGTTTACTTGCATCCAAAATCATTAGGTATAGCAAAAGCTAATGCATTACCTTGGATTCTTGTATGTAGAACAAAAATAAATAAATGAAATCGATTTGCTCCAAGCATGCCATTGATAGATGATTGCTCAAATTAATATTTGTGTACTCATTGATGCCAACAAGACAATCTCCGTTCGCAAAACAGATGGCGCCAAATGGTGAAACTTTGCTCATGATAGCGACAAAGGGCGGTAGCACTGATTTATCAAGTGGCAGTCAGTGATTTTGTCGTATGAAAAAAAATTCATGTGTATATTTTATGATTATGTTAGAAAAATTTATGTTTCAACTTTATGACACAAATTTCAAAAAAAAAAAAAAACATAATAGCCAAGATCTTTTAAATTCATGATTTTTTCATATCTAAAGTAAAGTAACGCATATTAACACATACATGTATTCATGATGAACAAATTTGATTTTGAATAAATTTGATCTTGAAGAGATGGAGTTTCTCTCTCTAATCCCTTGAAACTGTCTATACTTTTTGAGGGAGAGAAATGTACAGGGTGTGTTAGGTAGAGAGATGACTCATTCTAAAATCTCTATTTAACCACCATCCATCAAAGGGGTTACTAACCAATAAGATTTATGATAATTTAATAAATTAATTGATTTTTATTAATAAAATCAATGACATAAGTTACTAACATTTATTTATTTTAGGGGTTGTATGAGTTACAAAAATAAATATCATAAGTTATCATAAATTATGACATAAGTTATGAGTTAAGAAAATTAATAACTTAAGTTATCAAAAATAAATCTCATAAGTTATCAAAATAAATGTGAGTCATAAATAAAAATATAACAGATTATACTAGAAGAATGAGAAAATAGAGTGAAAAGCTTGAAGTTTTTTTTCTATTAAACATTAGAACATTATTCTTAAATCTTGATTTTCATTTTTTTGGGGGGCACAACATAGACATTACTTGCATCATTTTGTAATAAATATCTCAAGAAAGTTCAAAATTTATTTTTATCATTAGGATTATAACATAGGGTTTTAAAGCTTATAAAGGTGTTAAGTTCTGTTAGTAGCTAAACAAAATAAGTGTGATAAATATCGGTGATAAACCCTACTAAAATTGTCAATCAAGAGAATTAAGTTGCCTTTGAATGGTGAAGTGTTGCTTTCTTCCTTATGAATTAATACAACATGATGACAATCAATATTTTATAGAGTTTTTATAATGTTACTATCATAGAACTTTTTTTTATCAAGGGAGTATTTGTTGATATTTTTTATGCACAATGTACAAATATATTTTCTGAGAGATACACAATTGCAACTAATATTAAGGGATTTTTAAAAAAATGAATAAAGAATCATGAAATCAAATAAAACCTATCAAAATATGTAACTTATTCTTCATTCAATCAAAACATGTCCATTTTTTACAAATATTGAAATTAAAATTCATACTAATGTTTACACTTAAAGCTTATTAGAATTTTATTTTTTTCGTGGACTTAAAATTCAAGCAAAGAGTTGAACTAAAAAAAGGAAAGAACAGAAAAGTGAGGGGATCTCTATTTATTGTGGGAGAAAGAAAATGATAATAAAAAAAAACCATTTATATGGCTCCAATAATTTATATAGAGTGTTTTTTCTATTTTATAAAGTAACTACTCATTACACACAGATCCCAAAAAATATATTGATAACTATTCTATTATAAAATGCTTGTATATCTTTCTAAACTCAACCTTAGAATTTGGTAAAACTCAGTCTTCTGAATTTGATCTTTTTAACTCAATCTTTTGAGCTCAGTATTATGAATTTGGAATCTAGTGCTCAATAATTTGTCAAATCGTTAGTGTAATCTTGCAAGTTAATAGGGTAATCTAGCTAAGCAACTTGATAGGCTAGCGCGAGAAGTCATCTCAGAAGTATATATTTAGCTCTTCAATTCTCTTATATCATTGGAAGGTAGTTGTAAAAATAACAACAGAATAAGAAAAATCTATTCACCATTTTAAAATGAAACTCTATATAAACAAGTTTAAAATCTTTATTCTTGTTCTTCTCATAGGCGACTTAATCCATGATAAAAGTTAGTTTATGTTTTTTTGTTATTTGAGTTTGTCAGAAGTTATTTTTTGTTTGAATAACAAAATTCATATAGTTAATTAAGAGAGGTGTTTTTCCCAAATGTGTTGACAAACAATTATCTTGGGATGCTCTTACTTGTCCTACCCTATTTTGGTGAGTAGAAATCCTTAGGTTTGTGATATTTTCATGTTACTCATTTAAACTAATGTTACAGGAAAATATTATCAATCAATTCTTTATTTGCATTCAATATGGCCAGTTGAATATTTAAAACACATTGTAGTCTTTAAGATTTGGGAGAATACGCATTGGAACAACTATGATAAAGTTTATTAACTAGGAGAATAGAGATATTGCTCTTCGATTAGTCCTCTCTTATAGAGAAATACTCATACTTTGGGGATTTCACCAAGTTTAGGGAAGTACAATGGTTGATGACCCTTGTTTTCTTATTGCTACCGGGAGGGGCAAAAGAAAGAGAATTGTTCATGATAGTCACCATCTTAATTGTCACTTTTTAAACTCTAGTTTTCTAAGATCCAAATCAAGGAAGATACTTCTCTTGCAAGATTTACCTCGCAAAGTTGAATTAGGATTTTAAACTTGCAAAAGTTAAGTTAGTAACTTTCAAAAACAACCAACAATCGAACCTTCAAGCTATATTTGAAACTAATGAGCTGAAAACTCTTCACAACTGGGAGATCACTTATTACTTGTGGGATCGATACACAAACTCTATTCTATATTCTAATTGGACGACATATATACTTGTGTGACTCATCAGTACTTTGTAACATTTGTTTTGTTTTAAGTTTTTGGATTATTATTAGGAAACGTGTTAAATTTTCAATTTAATAAAACTTTAGTCAAATAGGTAGGGTCTTAACTTGAAACTTGTAGTGTTAAATAGCTATTGCAAGTTATTTTTATCTCATGTGTTTAAGAAAAAAAAAATTTGTGTGTGCTTCATATTGTACTGTTAATTTAGTGTACTTATTTTAATTCTTTTTTCTTTATTTTTAAAATTAGTTTTTGTCATTTTATTTTGACTTTCAACACATTATTTGCTTAGTTTTTCATTGTCATGTATTTAAATTTGTAAATTTAGGGTCATATCACTAGATCAACTTAGTTGTGTATCCGTAGGACTAGAACTTTTAGAACTAGTTCCCTGAGACACTGAACTAGAAAGACTTGTAAAAATAAGAAAATTAAAAAGGCTCATAAAAAGTTAAAAGAGATTGCATGCACACCTTAGGAATAACACAAAGCACCAGGACCCCATTTCATGACCAGATAGCTTAAGAAATTTGTTAAGCCCACGGTAAAACCCATATAAACTAATAGATTATACTAAGTCAAGTGCACAACATATAATTTAGCTCAAGATTTACTTGGAAAAATTTTCTTTTATCTTCTGGTTCTCAATATACAGAGTCATTACGTCAGTGATAATAGTATAAAAATAAAACTAAAGATTATCATAATATCATTTCTTTTATATACATCAAATTTATTTACATCTAAAATGTTTATATACATTGATCATGATATTTGAATAATCTTAACAAAACATATAAATTTATCATAACCACAAAAGACATAGATTAAATATAACTCTATTAGCAAGTACTTTCAGCTCACTCCACCGAATCCTTACCCTTCCTTGAAAATATGTAAAAAAAACCAGAATAAGTGAACAACTCAGTAGGTTACATGAACCTACAATTGAAATAAATGCACGGAAATAGAACAATATGCATTATAACATCATATACACTAAAAAAACTAAGTATTTTTGTCAATGAACATGCATATGCATACTATAAAACAAGTACCTGTAATATATTATCAAATCACAATAGTAGGAATGTATAAGAAGGCATATAATCAAGCATAATTATCATAACACATAAACTATATAAGTTAGGTGGTCTGGCTAATCTTATGCGATGCTTTTCTTATACCAATCATAGTAAAACAAATATAATATTGTATCATACTATGTTAATAATAATAGTTAAAACAATTAATTAGGTGGCACAGTACACGGGAGTCATCGCCCCTAGCCCTTCGGCACTCATATTATGTCATATTCATCCCTTATAACTGTCGACATGTATCGTGTTTACAGAAAAACCTATTTTAAGGAAAGCTCATCGGCCCACCCTCTTGCGCAGGGTAACATATCTCTATCAACCCGAATCATAATAGTCAGCTTTCCTTGCACACAAACATTTCACAATATCATATCATTTCAAGAAATAATATGCTAAGTATCATAGTGTATATGTAAAACATGCATGTACAATAAAATAAAGATTCACAGTATGCAATAGTATGACCAATCTATATGCACCAATCAAAATAAAAATTACATATTAAGCTTGCATGCATGTCAATATTTCATCATATACATAATTGAAATTGTATTTTTAAAGAATTTTTTATTGCTCAAATTAAGTCTTTTGCCTCAAACAAATGAAATACCTAGTAAAACTTCAATATGCACATGCCAAAATGTGCACATAGTTAGAATAAAAGCATATTAAAATTTATACGATGAAAATTTCCAAAATACTGAGATATCGTCAATTTTACAAGTTTTGGATGACAAAAAATTGAAAAAATATGAAAAATGACAAAATCACTAAAATCAGTATAACGGTAGCCTAACTTGAGTCTGTTGCAACTGTTCTGTTGTATGAAAATCAAGATACAACCTCCAAAAATATTCCTCTATTTTCTTTTCCTATTCTTATAGTTTTGGAATGAAGTGGCAAAAGGGAAACTTCTAGGTAAAGTCATTAAAGTGGATTTTATATAAAAGAAATGTGTCTTGAGCATAAGTACAATTACAAGAATTGATTTGATTCATGACCTCACTTTTGGTTGAGGTCTAGTTTTCCTCTTCAGTAGCCTAGGGTCTAGCCATTGGTCTTTCCTATTGACTATTCCTAAAAAAACTAAAAAAGGAACCCTCACCGTTAGAAATTCTAAACTCTCCTTTACTCAACTTGAAGTTCTACATATTGGTCCTAACCTCTAGCACTTAGTGGGTGGGGTCACTATGGGGGAGATCAAGAAGAGTTCCTATAGGATTATTTAACCTTAAGGTTGACCTTG